TGGAAATATTTCAAAGTTAGAATTTTTTCAATCTGTGTAAGATTAAGGAAACTTAATGCAAGAAGGATGTTTCCAAGGAGTTGATCTCCTTTGGAATGCTCTGTAATGTTTGTTGTCAAGTCTTTATGACTTTGTGCATAATCATTACAAGAGGATTAATGCATATAAGTTTAGAATCTAACAGATTTCAGTAAATGACACGAATTTGGAATTCTTGCATTTGTAGTAAGGATTTGGGAGTGTGAAAAGAGAATAATTGAAGTTAAGTTCAATTGATCTAGTTCACAAAGTAAAGATCATAGACAAACACAGTATGCATACTTGGTGTATGGCATGACTAGTGTTTAGAAAACATAGTGTACATGCTTGGAGCATGGGACAACTATTGTTTTAAATTCAAGAATAAAGTTGATAGCTGAAACAGTATACAATGAATAATGTGTAATCATATGGTGATAAATAAAAGGTGTTTTATTTATGTTCATAGGTTTTCATACCATATTGGATTCAATTATTATTGTGTTTCACTTTGCATGTTTTGACTTCCCGAATAAACTGGGTTATCCTTCCGGAATGACTAAGTTATTCAAACCATCCACAGTCGGTCATATGTTGGAAGTAGATATGAATTAAGACTGTCATGGGTAGGGTTGTAGAGGTCTAAGGTGTTGGACAAAGGGCTACAACACTCATGAGTGCTCATAAGTTCTGAGTATTGGATTCAACCCACGCTCATTGGAGTCACTTCATGGATTTTATCACGAGTGATCATGAGACGATAATATCTTATATTCTTCAAACCTAGAGATATGAGTTGTTACTATGATTTGGTTGTACGTTGACTGCACGAAACCGCATTTGGTAACTCGGTGCTATAAAATGTGCCTTTGTGTATGATTCAACAAGTAGTAGAACAAGCCATATGAGTCAAAGTTTATCCATTCCTTTTACATTCGGGATAAAAGCGATATCTGTGGGCCCCTCGATGATTTGATGATGACAAATGGAAGTGCTCGGCCGGGCCTGGACTGATTTGATTTGTTCAATTAGTCAGTCGTCATAAATCAGAAATCGGGAAACAACAAATGGACAGAGAGAATGATTATAATCCATGTCTCAGTCCATATGATATCTAGAATGGAGGAATATATGATCCCTTATCTAATGGACAAGTCATTGACAAAGGTTAGAGTTCTTCTACGAGGTCAAAGTTCGACAGAAGCTTTTGAGAGCTACGATTGTCGGTCGGTTCCTGAAGTCATACGCAATATTAGTTTTAGACTTATCCAAGTGGGAGACTGTTGGATTAATGTCTAAGTCCATAACTATAATTGGTAAGACTTGACCCGACCCGGCATGGTCCATTTGGGTTGCATGACATCATGCACTTGGATAGACTATAACGAGAGAAATAAGACACTTATCGTTATTAATATATTTTTAATTCTAGTATATTAATAATAAAAATAATAAAATTATTTAATTAGTATTGATCAAGAATTAATCTAGGATTAATTAAGTGATCAAAAGAAGACTAATTAAATATATGGGTTGATTGTGCAAATCATCTATACTTATATAGTGGGCTAATGCTCCATGGATTATCTAGTTGGGCCAAAACCCATATGATGCTCCATGGTGTATTTGAACCCATGGATCCAAGGGAATGGAAATTCATGACAATTAGGGTTTACCCTAATTGTATAACTATATAAGCATCTTATTCTTGATCAAAATCGGCCACTAGAGAGACTAGAAAAGGGCTAGCCGATTTTCATGAAGTGTAGAATTCTCTCAAGTTATTCCAAGTGTATTTGGTGTTGTGTGAACCATTTGAGGTGTCACACTTGGGGAACTAGGCACTCAAGCTTCATGAAGACATTCTACATCAAAGAGGTATGTATTCTATCTTGTTATATTGATAGTTTTGTATGCTAGATTAGGATAATACCTTGGATGTTCATATTTGCATGTATAATAGAGAAAACATAGATCCAAGGTATTTAGGGTTGCATGTATACTTAGGAGTGTTAGAATGCACAAAACCCAACAGTTACAACATCGCCTAAACTCGTAATTCATTAGCTACAGGTTATTGGTCTGCTGGTGTTTCCACGGGGTTGTCTAGAATAGTCTGTGGTCGCCATCTATACTCTGGTAGATGACTACATCGCCACCTTGCTGGTTAAGGTTATGGTATCTCCTTTCATCCTACATCACCTATTCATCATCATCTATTTACCTAATTATCATCACCTATCTCTCATCATTTTATTTCATCACACACCAACTATTTCATCTACCCATGTTTCATCTGCACCATATTTGTAGATATAAAACAAATATACCGTTTAAATCTTTTAAAACATGTATAAAATCGTTCATCCAGCATAAACAACAAGTATTCAAATAATATGCTCACATAGCACCTAATTTATATAAAATACTTCATATCTGTGTGTAAGATGAAAGTAACTATGCACTCATAGCACGTAATTTATATTAAATACTTCATATCTATGTGTAAGATGAAAGGGACTATGCACTCACTTGAAAAGGTGGTGATTCCGAACTTAGACAGCGCTTCGCTTCTTAAAAATAATTTCCTTCGACGAAACCTACTATTATTATCACTAGAGTTTAGTCTATTATTCGCCGAAACTAATTAATAGTCTAACTATTATTACTATTATATACGTGTTAAACAATACTTATATAACCCATAATAATAGCTCAAGTACTTATTATAAGTTCCTAATAACGTTAGTATAATTAAATAAAAGCTATATTAAAAATAGCGTAGGCATAGCTCACTTACAGCGGGTTTTATAGGAAACCGGGCTTTGCTTGGAGCAGCGTTCCCATGCCGAAAAGCTCTTCTTCTCAGAGCCATCGAGCACTCCGGGGCTTCCGCCTTGTGCTAGGGAGGTTCCCTAGGCTTTTCGGGGGGTTTCGGGGCTAGAGAGAGGTTCTAAAGAGAGAGTAAAGAGAAGAAAGAATGGGAAATGTATGAAGAAATTGAGGGTGGGAGAGGTTCTATTTATAGGGTGAAATATGGTTAAGCTTGGTACCACATGTCACCATCTGGTGGCAAGATTTGGGGAGAAAGCAATGGCTAAGATTGTGTCATGTAACCCATTTTCGCACAACACACTTCCGACTTCTAAAATCCGTAAGTTTCACATACGAGCTCCATTTTTTATGTTCTTTATATCCATGCGTAGGTAAAAATAACATCTACAACTTTCATTTTGAATCCGTCGGCTAGTTATCGACCAATCTTAAATTTAATAGTACGAGAAAATTAGACTGTTAAATGACCGCAAAAAATTCGTAACTCCTTCATACATACTTCTTTTTCGTCTGTCTTTTTACCGTTGAGTTCCTATTAATGAGATCTTCAACTCTCATTTAAGTCACGTAAGGCAAAAACCACTCGAACTAAAATTCGAGTTTTGGGTCGTGCACTACTAAGCCAAATCTTAGAAAAATCATAACTTCCTCATGCGAAGTCAGATTTCGGCGTTCTTTTTATGGAAACTATCAGGTTAACATATTCAATGACTAAGGCTAAAAGTCGCTCTACCATAAATTCATTATTTACGTCTCCCCAGTGTCGTGCCGGTTCCGTCGCGAAACATCGATGGGTCATAACTTCTTCGTTTTAACTCGGTTTCAACGCTCTTTATATGTACGGAACCCTTGAGAGATATTCTACAACTTGGTTAAGATTATTTATTCAAAATAATCTTTTGTCGAAAAGTCGTTTTCGACCCCTATTATTTCTAAATAGACTAACCCAAATCTACGGGCGTTACATTGATCACACTCATTGATTTGCTCACCAACAGGTTTCGCAGCAAAACACTTTTCATCTCCTCTTCCCTTCGCATCCCCTCATCTACTATCAGTTGTCACGCCATTGGTCACCATCAAGCACCTACCAGCAAACTTTGAGCTTTCTTACTGTAGAGGCGTGTTAGGGTTATTAAGAAAAGATCAATCAACAGTTAACAACTACGGTGCATGCATGCACTATAAATACTATAACCCTAATAGTAAGTACGGTTGGACAGGCCCAAACCGTGTACATAATGGACATATACGAAATAGCCCAATGACGCAATCCAATATTCCCAACAATTGTTTCTCTAGAACTCAATTCATCTAACCTCTTATAGTGGCTTAAACTTGTCTTGGACATTTTCATGAAGTTACAACTTTATAGTCTCAACTTTTTCACATACATGACCAATTTGCCCATTTTCGTCAATATTGTCTAAAAGTTATATCTTTCTAAATTTTGAGTTGTTAGACGATGTAACCATAAACAACTATAGAAGGAAATATTGACTCCATTTTGGGTTCTGCAAATGGACTTTAGAGAAGAGAGAGGGAGTTTAGGAGTGATGGGGATTGATTGAACTATGATGAAGGTAATGGTAGGGTTGGAGATCATTATTATTTTTTAGATTCTATAAATAAATGATAAATAGTAAATTATTAATAAGTGGATAATAGTTTTTTAGATCGGGATTAAACATGCAACGAAAACATGTAATAACGATAGTCCAAGTTCAATACAAAAATTATAGTGAGGCAAACGTCGATCTAAGTGGTAACTTTCTGCTTTCTATGACGACATCGTGTTTGTTGTGCAAGTAATTTCATTAATCATATAGCTAGCCAGGGAAACAAGTTGTGTAAATAGTGTAACCAAAAACAAAATACATAAATCGACAAAAATTACCAACTAATCCCTGACAAGGACCGCATCTTAAGGATATTCCATTGGCTAAGAGGCATTTCCATAAAGACAACACTAAATATTAATATATTTGTTTTGGAAGTTTGCAACCGGCTCATTGTTTTAAAAAGAAATTAAGCATCATCTACTTTATATATATATATATATATATATATATATATATATATATATATATATATATATATATATATATATATATATATATATATATATATAGAGAGAGAGAGAGAGAGAGAGAGAGAGAGAGAGATTAATCACTGGTAATTCTTTGGTGGTCTTAGTGTAGCTTGTTTTCTATCTTTGATCAAACATCAAGATGATGCCTGTCCAGAAACAGTTTCAACACTTGAAAATACCACTAGAAGCTATATTATTAGCAACAAAAAACTTTGATGAAGACCATCACATCGGGGAAGGCGGATTTGGGAAAGTTTACAAGGCAAAACTTCTCCTTTCAAACGGACATACCACAGTTGCTTTAAAGCGTTTAGATCGTATACGTGGACAAGGGGATACCGAGTTTTGGAAAGAGGTCATGACACTTTCCCTTTACAAGCATGAAAACATTGTCTCCTTGTTAGGGTATTGTGATGAGAGTGGCGAAAAGATCCTTGCATACGAGTACGCATCTAATGGAAGTCTTGATTCACATCTCAACAACAATAATCTAACATGGTCTCAACGCCTTAAGATATGCATTGGAGCAGCACGCGGACTAGCGCACCTTCATAGTGATGTTGGGACTCAAGAAAGAGTATGGCATCGGGATGTTAAAAGTTCTAATATTCTTTTAGATGAAAAGTGGAATGCAAAGATCACAGACTTTGGTTTATCCAAATTTGGTCCAGCTAATCGGCATTACTCGCATCTTTACTCCAATCCTGTAGGCACGTTGGGGTATTGTGATCCGTTATATGCAGAGACTGGGCTTTTAACAAAGGAGTCAGATGTTTACTCTTTCGGTGTGGTTTTGTTCGAAGTTTTGTGTGGAAGGGTGTGTATGCCCAACATTCATGAGCGTCAATCTTTACTTACCTTGGTACGAGAGAGTTATAAACAGAAAAAGTTAAATGAAATTATTTATGGTAACATAAAGCATGAAATAAATCGTAGTTCGTTGAGGGCGTTTATATCAATTGCTTATCCATGTTTGAGTTTAGAGCGTGAGGAACGCCCATTAATGGACATGATCGTGAGAACACTTAATACTGCACTCAGCTATCAAGTAAGTTGCATTTTTCATTCTTGTTTCGTTCATTTTCTTTAAATTCATCTCAATCTACATTTTATTATAATATATCTAGATAACTAAAAAAAGAAATATGTGTTAGGGACAAATTTTATTATCAATTTTGCGTTATGTTTCTTTACAAATTCTATGTTTCCAACTGTCATGCACCAACTAAATATACGTTTGTTTACAAATCGTCAAAATCATCTTCATCTACTTGTTGATTATAATCATTACACCTTCCATTAGGTTCCAACTCCGGGTCCAACTCTACATTTAAACAACAGTAAAGTGCCACCATCACTTGCAAAGGTAATTCACGCTCTATGTTCACAAAAATCTAATGTGACTCCAATTACGATATCTTGTATTGGTTCCTTTCTTCCTAATTCGTGAAGATAAGAGGAGTCACATTTTAATACTACCGATTACCAACCAATTGGGTCGTTAGATTTTTCTATTGGTAGTTTTTATGTTCTAAAAGGGAATTTCCTCATGTTTTCTTTTGTGGTTTTATTTTTATCCTACAGACTTCTTTTGCCCCGGAAGTGAACATTCATGGTGATGCACGTAATCCAAAAGGGAAGAAAACTGAAGGTATTGTTTCGGGTTTCAACAATCAATATTGGGTTTTTAATTGTCGTATATATGTATCTATGGTATACAAAATTAATACGTTATTGTGTTGTGTTTCCCTTTGAATCCTATAAAATGTTCTTGTTTTAGGTGTCACCATCACTATACATTCAGAACCGGGTGTGGTGAATGTGGTAACTGTACCACGAAATGTTAATCCAGAGAAAACAAGCAAAAAGCCTGCAAAAAATGGGAAGGATGATAAGTTTTGGGATAACATTGAAAAAGAACAGATGAATAATCAGATAAAGAACATGCAGATTCATGGTATTAAAAATAACAAAAACCAGCTGCAGAAAGGAGGACAAACGAAACAGAGTAAGCAACCCCAACAGTCAAAAGGGTCTCAAGATCAAACCATGCGATATTACGATGGGTATCCTCGTTATGGTAGTGGAGGTGGAGGTGGAGGTGGAGGAAGTAGTAGCAGCATGATGAATCCAAGGAAGTCTGTGAAGTCTAAGGTGGTGGAGAGTGATGATGATGATGTGTACTATGATGATGTGGATGTGAATGAGCACGTGATATAGTTGGATTAAAAATATAATTCAACTATTCAAGTAAAAAAAATTGCCAAAAGTTTGCTTGTAATTACTTGATTAAGAGAAGGTCTACAGGGCTAATTACATAAAATAACTAGAATTCCCCTAAGTCAAATACACAACCTTATTTGACTAGAATACAAAAACTAATTTTGCATGTTAAATCTCGGTTAAATATCACATTCTCTCCCTTTAACCGGATTTGGATATGTATAGAGCTTGATCACTCAAAGTTTACCGTGCATGTGGAGCTTGCCAACGCCTAACACTACAAGAAGATTGGGCAACAGCGGCGATGCTTGTCGCCACTAAAGTTTAGGCGCGTCGCCGCTAATACTTTCAGTCGCCGCTAATACTACGTGTCGCCGCTAATGCTACGCGTTGCCGCTAATAAGTACATGTCGCAACAAAAGATGTCGCCGCTAATACTCTTTTGATTTTTTTATTTTAAATTATTTATTTAACATTAAATTTATAATCAATCCAAATATTAATCCATATATCATTTGAAAAATCTTATAACTTTTTATAGAAATATTAATACATATACAATCAATGCAAAATATTAATCCATACCACATTAAATATTTTTCCAAATTACAAAACATTTCATGAAATTCTAAAGTAACTACTCGTCTTAATCATAATTTCCTTCATTATTTGGTGACGACAATGAGCGAAATCACTCTTCCAATGCTGCAGAACAGGCCGAATCCTTTAGTATTATTTGCAGCATTTCCAACTATAAAGAAAACAAACTATATTAACAACATATCAGAATAACATTATAATTAATTATACCATTCTACAAAATATCAAAATATCAACATATCAAATACATGTAAACATACATTTACTTTCCATTATAGCATTTACTAACAATTACCTATGATTATGGTTGTTCTTGTGTCATTGGTTGTTCCTAATCGTACATGGACACAACGGTAGGGGGTTTACACCCAATGCCTCTGATATGTCCGCATCGAACACCCAATATTCTTTCAAAACAATCTTTTATATCAGTTGGTGCTTGACCGCTGGCCTCAAAAGTAGCTTGGGTTCGTTGGTTTATCTCCTCGAGTAAAGCATTCTGTATTTTTAAAAATAATAAAAATCATAAAAATTAGATTACTAAATACCTTTGACGATACAAACACTTATATGAAAAATACAAATTAACCTTTTACGTATTGTTGCTCGACTGCAGGACTATAAAATACCCCTTGACGATTGGAATTAGCCTTACGAAAAACTTCAATTCAACTGATATCCTATTTAATATTAAAAATTAGATTATTTATACTTTAAATAAATATTTAAATATATCATAACTTACTTCTTTGAAACATTCATTGTTGTATAAGCTCGACCCCCTCTGTTTACAACTACTTGTTTTGCACGACATTCTTTGTTTGACGCCGAACGCCTTAAAAATTCTGGCGTTTGAAAATGTTCGACTAACTTCGCCCAATTTTCATGTGACATACCATTAGGGGGGTTGTTTAATCCGGCTAGGATATCTGCAAGCCCCCCGATTTCTTTAAAATAAGAATGAGTTTTACTTTTTTGGCCTCTGTAAACTTTTGCAAGACTCGAATCAATGCTCCGCAACAATTGAGCACGCTCCGGATCCATGATAACTTTATCCAAATCAAATTTATTCTGCAAAACACAAAAAATTAGTTAATTAAATAACAATCACAGCTAAACATAAAATTGTATCCAAGTTACCTTTAGATGTACAACTGTTGCGTTCCTTAAGGCGGGGATACGTTGAAAGGGACATTGTTCCACAAATACCTCCCAATTTCATGTGTGAACCAATTACCACGCTTCCCGATAGGGGAATATGTGATCTCCCTATCGAAATCCAAATCCACGGGCTTTCCCTTGTTTGCTCGTATCAATTTTCCCAGCTCGATATTTTTTTACATGCCCCTTCTTTTTTTTGGAAGCTCGGCTGAAAAAATACAATTAAAAATATTATTCATGATAACTTATTATAAAATAATTAAAATAGTTAATAAATATATCATAATAGAACTCACCATCATGTTCGTGTTGACCACGACCAAAGCCTACTGGAGGTGGTGGATCCCCGGCTCCATCACCTCCATGTCCAAGCCCCATAACATTGGCCATCATGGCCAAGAGTATCGCCCAAGTAAACCTCATCCGCAACCTGTAAATTACAAAAGATTTTGCGGTCAGGTTTCTTGAATGAGTAACTTGCATGTGGTCTAGTGAACTTGTTACCCTTTTTTGCAACCATTGATTACACCGGATATTCAGGTTTTTCAAGTCCTCACGTGCATTTGATGTGTCTTTACTCTTATCATTCATCATAGAAGTACCCAAAACACTCTCACCCACATTTTTCTCCACATGCATCAAATCTATGTTGTGCTTCAGCTGTAGAGAAGACCAATACTCGAACTTGAATCCTTGCTGATCCATGTTTTCTTTGAGAGTGTTAGGATGTTTACCTGGTTTACAAACTATTAGACGACCTAGTTGTTCTTGTATGTATTCATTAGTAAAATGTCTCGGAGCGGGTCTTATCTCGGGTTTCCCGTTAAATTTTAAACTCATCCTTAATGGATCATCAGCATCTAAGAACCGACAATGACCGATATAAACGACTTTATTTACTGCACGGTACGAAGGAGTGTCTCCCTTGTAAGTTGGGCATGCTCTATACCCTTGTCCTCTCCAGCCCGATAAACTACTACGAGCTGGAAAGTCGTTTATTGTCCATAATAACATAGCTTTCATCGTGAAGAATGTGTTTGTTGCTGCGTCTTTAATACGTACGCCTGATTGCCATAAAAACTTAAGCTCTTCCACTAACGGCCTAAGGAAAACATCTATGTCCTTTCCAGGCGCTTTAGGGCCAGGAATCAACAAGGCCAACATCAACGATGACTCTTTCATACAAAGCCATGGTGGCAAATTGTATGTGGTGAGTACAACCGGTCACGTACTATGTGGATTACACATGTTACCAAATGGATTAAAGCCATCAGCTGCCAGCCCTAGATGTACGTTGCGAGGTTCGCTCGAGAAGTCAGGGTAATCTACATCAAATTTTTGCCAACACTCTCCATCAACGGGATGATGCATCACACCATCTTCTGATCTCCTGGTACTATGCCATATCATATTTTTAGAAGTGTACCGTGAACAATATATACGACATAGTCTAGGGGTCAATGGAAAGTACCGTAACACCTTATGAGCCACTTTCTTACCCCTGGTGTTTTTACCAATCCACTGACTCTCTTTACAAATGGGACAAACTTGCAATGACTTGTGTTCCTTCCAGAAGAGAAAACAATCGTTTTTGCACACATGAATTGACTCGTACTCCAAACCCAACTTCTTCAGTTTCTTTTTTGCTAAATAATATGAACACGGAATCCTGTTGTCTGGTGGAAATGTCGAATGCAACAACTCAAGGAGTTGATCAAATAAACTATCAGTCCATTTGTTGTTAACCTTCATATGCATCAGCTTTGCTAAAAAATCAAGGAATGAAAACGTACAACCAGGATATAAATTGGTTTCGACTGCCTCTAACAACTCTTCAAAATCATCATCGACACCACTACCCCCTGTATTCGAGGTTCCTTCATCGAGGTTTGTATCATTTTCTCTCAACTCCCACATAACATCGTCAATAACATCTACCATCTCGTTCCTTGGCGATACAACATCTACAACTGGAGGGATTAAAGGTTCACCGTCATTAACTGAAACCATATATACGAACACGACGTCTCATTGCTTTCGGATCCATGAAGTAACAATTATCACATTTCTCACACGGACATTTGGTTTCACCTTTACAATCTAGGTGTAACATGGATCTCTCGACAAAAGAGTCGAGTCATAGCTGGAACTCGGGAGAATGACGATGTGGATTAGTAGTCCAGCTTTTATCAATAGACATGATGCAACTGAAGCATAATTTAGTGTTTAAGGTTTAGTCTACGGGAAACGAAAATCAAGTAGAGTATTCATAAAGTTGATGATTCAAAAAGTATCCCAACATGGGAACACATGAACAAATAATCAGAAATTGATAAAATATTAAAAGAGTATATATATATATATATATATATATATATATATATATATATATATATATATATATATATATATATATATATAAATTTAGTTTAATATTTTAAGCTAATTTTATTTTATTTTAATATTAACATTAACTTGATTTTAAAACTACTTTAATTTGATTTTACAATTAATTTATTATTTTTTATTGACTTTTTTAAAATTAATTTTACTTTATATTATATTTAAATTAAAATTACTATAACATCCCGAGTTCAGGAGTGCAAGTTCAGGGTTCAAAGTGTAAATAAGGATGGTCAACTCGGCGAGTCCATGGGTGGACTCGGCGAGTAGAGTCGCGATTCTGGTCGCGTGTAAAGTGGCCAACTCGGTGAGTCGGCGGCTGGACTCGGCGAGTTGGTGCTGAAAAGAGAAAAAGCCTAATCTTCGGGGTTGCACCCTATTTAAAGGACTTAATGCCCTCCCCTCAGTCCCCTTAGCCCCTTTTGAAGTCCAGAAACCCTAAATCCGTTTGTGAGAGCATTGGAGAGCATTTGGAACCTTGATAAGTGCTTGGTGAAAAGATCTTTGAAGATTAAGAAAGTTGGAGAAAGGGGCTTTGCAGAGATTTGGTGCATTCTCCAGTTCGAGTTTCCTTTTGAGGTAATAATTCGTTGTTGGAGCTTTTGAGCTTCTAGATCTATCATTGTGGAGTTTTTGGGAGCTTATTTAGAGTTATTTCGGGTTGGAGGTTGGATCTGAGGTTCCTACCTCAGATCTGGAATAAAGATGATCCAAAAGTGCATAAAGCCCCTATCCTTGAGTTATTAGTGAAGCCTTCTTGTCCCAAACCCTAGCCTAAGAGTGTTTTATGCTTAGATCTCTTTGGATTCACGTAAAGTTTGCCACTTTATGTGATGGATAGGTTGTAAGAGAGTAGATTTATGGTTGGGAGTCCTTGCATGGCTTAGAAAGCCACTGTATGTATTAAGAACTAGAAGTACTCGGCGAATCACATGGGTGTACTCGGTGAGTTGGATGAAGATAGGCAGGAACTTGACGAGTTGGAAGAACAACACAGCGAG